CGCGCTCTCCGAGTCGAAATTTTGGTACTTTTGACGCTTTTAAGGATAATTTACACCTACTCAACTGATCTATACATCTACATAGATCAGCAATAACCTACTTTGATGACATTATAGTTTTTTTACACCTCCCTTGAATCTTTAATTCTAAAAATTTACTTCAGCTCCTACTTAAAAGGATCTAGTTTAATACTAAATTGGCAAAAGTAGTAATTTCCGACACCATCAGTTTTGAAGTAAGAGTAAATTTTGCACTTGCAGTTGGACCTCTTTTACCGTCTTAGATCCTGCTATGTAATAGAATTAAAGGTTCAACACAGGGCCAAAATTTCGACTCGGGTCGTCTCTCGGGGATGTTCACCCGCAAATCAGCGACTTGACGAGCGATCGCTCGAGGAGCGTCGAAGGAGCTCGCCTCGCGCCGTACGGTGAGGGAGAGCCTGCGAAATAATGAAGGCAACTCCCAGAGCTTCATCGAGCATCATCGCCGGTCGGTCGGACGATCGTAAAAATGGCAGCGCGGAGTTTTTTGACGGATCGGCGCGGCACGGCGCGGCCGATCCGTCGTTATCCGCTGCCTCGTATAACTCGAGGCAGATTCTAGTTGAGCCGCAGATTTATTAGCGATAGAGCAGTTCGATAGCCGCGCTCCGTGCACCACCACGCCCATCCCGTGCACACGGCGCGGCGCGGCGACGGAGCGCACGCAGGGCCCTGCGCTGCGCGCCGCGGCGATGCACCGGGCGATGCAACCATGTGCGGCGTCGGGGCCGAGGGCTCCGCGAACGACGAACGCGTTAACCCGCGTGCGGCCGAGAGGGACCCCGCTCGGCTCTTTAATGTTATGCTGCGGCCCTCGCTCGATCGAGCGCGCCGTGCCCCGCCACGTCGGGGGATTTCTCTCGCCCCTAGGGCGAGAGGATGTACGAGCGAGCCTTCGAAGCTTCTGCAATTTCTCGCCAGGCACAAAGTACACTCCGAGACCCGCCCGACGACGCTCGGGCTCCTCGCCCCGAGAGCCTGCACGCCCGGCCGCTCGAAAATTCCCGGGACTCTGCGAACCGCGAAAGCGTATAATCGTAAACGTCGCGAAAAAAAAGGGCTGAAAATATATCGTATATACGCGTAACCACTGTGTTTCGAAAAATTCGCGACGCATTCCTCCGCCCGTCGTGCTCGTGCCTCCCATAATTGCAACTCCGTGGACTTTCTCGTTCTCTCATTCGCGATATTTCCATAAAAAATTATAATACTTGGAACTTTTTCCTAAACACGGAAGCAGATTGATACCGGCCGTTCGTTGCCACCGATACGAGGCCTCTTTTCGCACGTTTATAAGAACTTTGGTTAACAGGTACACGGAAAGACTGGCTAAGGCAAAAATAACTAAAATTAAAATGTTGCCCTATAAATTATAGGAGGGGCATCTACGTTGTGTTGCAACATTCTCTAAGGCCGGTGTTCATAGTCGATTCTTATTTCAAAGTCATCGTAAGTGTTGTCTTAAGACGCTAATACGGCTCTGTGATTGGTTAAAAACACATTGAGAGTATACTTAAGATGATCTTAAATATAAGAACGGTCTACGAGTACCAGCCTAAGATTGCTGCACAAAACGCATATAGTTGTCTCCACTATTTATCATACCAATGTGGGTATGGCAATCACAGATATAGGTGTCCCAAATATTACCATTTAATGGGGTTGTGCCAACCCTAATTAGACATGTGGTAACCATATCGGTCGCTCCGTGTATATTCACAAATAATTATCTGGTACGCGTCCGACGTATCTCGCTACCGCTATCGACGTGCGTGACGAGATATTTGAGGGAAGCGATAATTATAAGGAAATGGCTCGACGAGTGCGAAACGGGCGATTTATCGGGCGGAATCGGGCGATGCACTACCGAGCGCACAGGCGGACCGCGGTAGATAAAAAGGTAGAGAATCTGTGTCAGAGGTTGGTTATGCCTCGGATTTATGGGTTTGATTACCGTCGTGTACGATACGCGCGCGGCGCGATTTTGTATGGGTAAATCGTGATCCTCCACGCCTCCTCTCTTTCTCTCTCCCTATCTCTTCCTCCTCCACCGCCTCCTCGCCTCCTTCTCGCCTCCTCGCCCGATCGCGTATAGAGTTATCGCATTCTCGGCCCGTAAGTGTCCATTGTCTACTTCCAGGCCCGCGTATTATATGCCCGCGCTTTATACGTCTCGATCCCCTTCGACTCACCGGACCCGGTGTAATTTCACTTTTACAACGTCGCGTCGGATTCACCACCGATAGGCCGCGCTATGCTTAAATCTACAAGCGCATCTTTACGTCATTACGTAAAGTAGCGTAAGTGATTCTTCTTTTCTTTTTCTTGGCAGAAAACTCGTCCTAAAATTGCTCCTGCCCGCCGAGATTGTAAGTTCATCTCGGACTCGAGAAAATCCTGCTCGCGTTGTTTCGAGCTCCTCCTCTTTCAAGGGAAAATTACACCCACAGAAAAGAATTTCCGGACCCAATGCTATTGCACTTCAATGTATCATAAAATAGGATCGATATAGCGTCAATCATATTTATTATAGAGAAAGGAATATTTTAATCCTAAATGAAAACGGGAAAACGGGAATCATTAGACTGTTTATTGCGATGAATATTGCCATATGTCTTGGTGGTCCAATTGGTTGAGACGCCCGCCTAGCGAGAGAGAGGTCCAGGCTCAAACCCTGGCTGAGGTGATATTTTTTCGCAACCAATTTAGAATAAAATATTTAGACACTAACACCCTGTCACGGCGCTTAGTCTTTTATTCTTTCAAATTTGTGTTTATCACATTTGAGCCGTACGAATTTTATTAATTTCTTAAATGAAAAGTTCTAAAATCTAAAATGTTAGCATGTATCGTCTTATATACGTTATTCTTGTTATAGCAAGTCAATCTTTTTTAATTCGATAGAGGAGAATAAGAGTTATTGATTTTATTGTCTTATTTTTGTACTAAATGAGGTTGCGAGAAATGTAAATGCGCCAGGAATATTTGTTTGTCTCGGTAACAGAAATCCTTTCTGAGGGTGTAGATTTTAGAGACTTGCATCTGTTGACCAGCAACTACTTAGAGGTTTCCAAGTGCATCGCGTCGTATTCGACTGTTGTTTAGAAATTTGTTTCGCGAGAACCGATTGTCAGTGGAATTACGGCCGCGACGTGACGGGTCTGTGAAAGCTATTGGCTAACGGTAGATATTAATTTAAGAAAGTCTACGGGCCGTATTAATCTTGCGCTGATGTGGCACGGAGACCCCAGGTGGTTCACGAATCTACGGGCGGGCAGTAGGTCGATTGAAAGAATTCCTCGCCAACGTGAGTGAAGCCTATTGTACCGCTGAAAATTTCGGTACGCTCAGTTGTACCTCGAATGTACTGCGATTTGTGTTGGCGCGCGATTCTTCTTCGACAGCGATACAGTATGACGCAAACAATCGTAGCATAACACGAGAGTGTCACATCGAAACTGCAACATTAGTCAAATTCAATCGAGTTGCAGATTTCCGAGGGAAAAGGTGGGCCTCACTTTCATTTCGTTTTTCGCTTACTTATTATTTGTCCCGCCGGTCCTCGCACCCAAGCGATTCTTACGACGCTATAAATCTCCTTCAACCGCGCGCCTTATTTCGCACGCGTCTTCGCACTTGGGGCGATGTGGTAGCCGCTGGTGGCTCATTGATTTCGCGCGTCCGTCCTGTCAGAAGTCCACGGATGCCTCTTCCTCACGGCGAGAAGAGCCACGGAGACGTCCGTCGGGGTGGCGAGAGGCGACGCCCCACGTCGGGCCCGGTGAGAAGATGAGAAACGTCGCGGGAGGTCCCGCGCTTAGGAGGTGCGCGGCCCAGGATTGATGGACATCCTCACCTACTCGCGTGATTATTCGTCGATCCGCGTGCGCGCGTGCGTGTATGCATGCGTGCGTCCGTGCGTGAGCGCGCGCGCGCGCGCACGCGTGCGTTACCCGCGCGTGAGTTACAGCCGCGCGCGGTCGTGAGGGCCCGCGTGTGAGCGTGGTAATCACTGGTCGTTAGCGCCTCATTCACGCTGGATGTTACGGACGTCACGGAGCTGCCTCATTTCCAACCGGTATCGATACCCCGCACGTACGATCGATCGGTTTACGTCGGGACCCCCTAAAGCCCACCTCGGATGGGAGTCTCCTTCCCCTCGGCCCTCATCGTTTTGCCCCGACGCGATAACGCATTGCTTCGATACTTGTTAGGCGATAGGCTTCCAATGACAGCTTTGTACTTCTTTGACGACTCCTCGGTTGATCGCTATCGACTTCGACGTTCGAATGGAACGGAATTATATTCTGGGCACTTGGAAATCGCCTTCCTTTTCCGCGGCGCTTCTCGTCGGGTCTAGGTTGTAAGTCGCGATCTTGGAGCGCGGTGAATTAATTTACTCGTTGCAATCTGGACTGCAAATCCCTCGGGAGGTGTAATCGAGTCTTGTTGAAAGTAACAAGAATCACGGTAACCCTCCTGTCCCGAGAGGAGGCCCGGCCTTCTCAACACCTCATCTCTCCGCCGGCGTGCGTTGATGATCTTTGAAACTGGTTGGCTCATTAGTATGTGAAGGTTGGTGCCACCTACTGGGCGGGGCAGCGGGTCATTGAAACAATGGTGTTGTGACTAGACATCATCGACCTCGTCGGGAAGCGCGCGCGGAGTAGCCGATTGATTTCACCGATGATCGATAGATCTTTGTCCCCCCGCGCGGTTCGATCTTGAAAATACCCACTCTCGTTTCTATAGGAGCCCGTCAGCTGTCCTCGGACACGCAACTCGATTACGTAATTAAGAATTCACGCGTTAACGATTTCTTTCTTACCGCTACATTTCAGCGAACGTCTGCGAAAATTATTTTGTGCGATTAACCTGCGATTACATTATCGACGGATTATTAAGCAGCCCGCACTCTCGATCGCGGCAATAAGAAACGATTGTTCGTCATTTTCCAGCGATGCGCAGGCACAAATGCCGGAGCGGTATCACGGTCACGACCCACGTGACCGTTTTAAAGGCTCGCCAACGGCCACCATCAATCAAATCGATGGAGAACGGATTCTCTCGCTGCGTACGGGTCCATTAATTATCGCGCAATGCACGGAGGAGCAGGGGGAGGAGGAGGAGGAGGATGCGCTTTTTTTGTCCCCGTAAAACAACGGGGACCGGAGCGAGCGGGCGCGCAGGAACGTCGCCGCGGTCGTGAGTACAGGTAAGTCCGATGGCATTCTAACTGGACGCTCTCTCGTGGACCTAGCCCTCTTCTTTTTCTCTCGCCCACTCTCGTCCTCCTCTCTCTCTCTCTCTCTCTCTCTCTCTCTCTCGAAAAAGGGTAGAGAGTGCCAGTCATATATTAGAGAACTGTTGGGGACACCTAACAAGCTGGCAGAACACGTTTCCCAGAATCGGGGGTACCTGGCCCCGGGTACCTCTACGAGCAACCCTCTGGATCCGTCTCCGTCTCGCTCCCGCCTCCTTCACCTTTCTCGCGTCCTCCTTTCACTGCCGCGTCTTTTTACCGTCCTCTTTGTCTCCATTTCGTCGTTCTCTTTTTTCCGATACTGTCTCTCTCTGTCCCTCTTAACTGTCCTTTCTACCGCGGCAATAATCCACGGTGTATTTCACGTCCGAGAGGCGCGGATGGATATTGTTTCGCGCGCGCTGACGCCGGTCCGTATTTTTCCCCCCCCCTGTTCTTACCACCGTGCGAGTTGGATTCTGCGGTTTTTAAAGCCCCGCGAACGCGACCGTCGAGAGAGTCGCCTCTACCAGAGCAGTTCCCTCGAACAATTCTCGCGCTATCCCGCCGGTCATTGACCAACCTAGCGCACGTCGATCGACGAGTACGCGAGCCGCAAGCTTATTTGCAGAAACGATGACTTTTAGTTGGAAACTACGTAAAACGCTGCGGCTCTCTCGGCGCGCAAGAGTAATGGACTTGGACTCGGAATTGATTCATTTGACGTCTCAACCCTCTGCAACTGCCCACAATGTTTTCGATATTACTACCACGTCTCGATCCTTTTGTTCTGTTTATTATCCAGCGATCTAGAGAAGAAATAAGATCTAATTGCGTCGTTATATTTGTCCAGTCGAACTCAACGTAATCCCTCATAACGCCCAGAAAGATTAAATCTCGAAGAGACGTTTCTTACGTCTCGGTACGCGACGATTACTCTTTACGAGGCTGTTCGGCAATCTCGTTGCGAGATATAGAAACGCACGGCGAAGCTATTCCCCAGCAGGCACGCCGGTGATTATTAATCCAATAGTTCTTCTTTATGTATCGCCGTAACCGCCGTAACCAGTTTTCGCTCTGGGTACTCTAGAATTACTATTAAGAAGAAATAACGCTCCGGGGCGCTCCGTTCACATCCTACCCGCTCAACGAGCATTAAACGTTAAATAAAAGCGACACGCTGCTATTATTACAGTAGTATTTCTCCGAGCGATAGATACGCGACGCGTCGCGAAGGAGATGAGAGCAAACGGGAGATCATTCTAAGTCTGAATTCGCTGGATTAGATGTGACGCCTCCAAATCTTAATAATCTTATCTAACAATCCAAATGAAACTTGAGTATTTTCTTGACCATATCTGGCATTTTTAATAATACAGAAAATTTATTGCGAAAAATATTAACTCAGCCAGGGTTTGAACCTGGTTTTCCCTACACTCTAGCCGGGCGTCTCCCAATTCGACCACTGAGGCATGTCTCAGACTGAACGTGATCGGTGAGACATACTGAAGTTGTTAATTACTGCTGGCGACTTGACGAATATTCTTATTAATCGAAATAAAACTCATGCGTGTACACCGCGGAACACTCATTTGTACGCCGATTGATTTCCCGCTAAACCGAGCGAGCGACAAATCGTCGCGAGGTGGAGTTTGCTCGACACGTGTAAATTTCACGCGTTACGATCGGCGCGGCGATGTTTCGCTCGGCGTTCCGCGCGATTTTCCGCATTGTCGAATTAACGTGTGTCCGCGACGTAGCGATTACTACCTGCGTTAGGCAGGCCGGTAAATTAATTTGAACGTAGAGTCCGAGGCGAGGTAAGCCGCCGAGCAGATCGCTTCCTAAAATACCCGAACGAGTTTACCAGAAATAAAAACAAGTCTTAATTAAATGAAACAGTCGCCGTGGTACCGTGCGCCGCCGCGCCGCTTTTGGATCCGGTCAGTAGTTTTACCCTCGCCAGTTCGGAATTTCGAATTTAGTAGCTTCGTGTACATGGAAAAGGGACAAAGAGAGATAGGGGGACTGAGAGAGGGGGAAATTCTCGGGGCTCGTGTACGGTATGTCCGTACGTAGAGAAATCTGTAAACTGTGAGCGATCGGAAGTAGAAATCTATAAATCCAACCGCCAAAAGCATCTCTCTTTCTTACGTCTTACGAGAACCGAGATAAAATGGAACGAGAAGATTTAGAACGAGGTGCAACGTTGCGCGTAAAATTGTACGATACAGGTTGTGCAAACGAATCAATTATCTAGATACGATTCTTTTGAATGCAGATATTCGTAAGACGATACCGCTTATGCACGCACAGTACGAAAGCCTAGTTTTGGCCAGGAGATTATTTATCCGTGGAAAAAAAAACTCTATATCTATTTGCGTTTGTTCGACATGCGTCGCTCGAACACTTCTCTCGGTGCCTTGGCTCAGGTAGCTCGGCCCTGGTATCAGAAACACATCGTGTCCTACACGAGCCGAGTCTGATAACACTATTACCCGAAACGATTCACACGGATCTCGCTTGGTCTTTGAGTCGGTCTTTACTAACCGACTTATATCAGGAATTCTTTTGCCCGGCGTAGAGATAACAAATTCGGTAATTTATCACTTCTGCATTTCTTATCCACGATATTGCTAGCGTCTCTCGTCACTCGTCAGTAACGTTAGTGTCGCAAAGAGATTAAAGACTTAAAGCTGCATGTTTAGAGGAAAGAAACGTTTAGTATGATTTGTCCTTCTCTCACAGACGCAAATGACGAAAGTCTAGCGGATTATTCGCCGAGAAACTTAATTTACATATCATTAAGCGAAACGGCTAATTGAATTAAATGACGATCGAAGTGATTAATGAAGGCGCAATATCCACATGTATCATGGCTGTTGTCCGTAAACGTGTTTAGACTTCGAAGGTTTTATATCAACGCGACACAATAAGCTCGCAACGATATATCACGGGAGATCGTTAAGCTGACGGGCGTACAAAAAGATTTCAATTCGTCTGCTGTCAGCTATGATAATTCTCTCGGTTTCTTCCTCGCACTTAATTGCACGGATATTACGCTTTTACCAAATTACCTTCGAACTTGCACGTGCCTACACCTGCGACTTGTACGTTTTTACTACGACGGACACCTTATTTTAACGTCAGCGGGATAAGCTAAGCAGAAACAATTTTAATTAATATTTTTATTTGTCGCTAAAAAAATTGCCAAAAAAATTCGTTGCTCTGTGAGTTTCATTAAAAAGTAATATATATTTATTGTTTCGCTAACTTCACCTTACTTTAGCGGGACGTTATTTGCTAGAGAAATTTACGGAGCAGACTTTTTTTCTTTGGCAACTTTTCGGCAACAAATGAGAAACAAATAAAAATATTAATTAGAATTGGTTCTGCTTCGCTAGCTTATAAAACGTCTCATTTCGTGAGGCCAAAGACATGTTTGAAATTTTGTATCACACATGAAAAAAATTGATGGATTATAAATTGGAAATTTTGAAATATTTGGAGATTAAATTTCGGTAAAATTATTAACTCAATATTCACATAAAACTTCGTTATTCTCTATTACTAAGCATGTAACATTTCAGTTCGAAAGTTTAAAGACCAATTTTAGATATCCGACAGCTAACGTATTTACTTGCTCACGTTATTTTTTAACAATTCTCTTTTGTTATCCAGAAGTGACTTTCCAAGATCTTTTTTAGTGTTTTACAGAACAACTGTTGTATATCGTGAAATTAGTCCGCACCGCGTGTGTAGATTTTAAATCAATGACACAGTGTATACTCTTGTCATTAATTTCGGTGTGTATCGACGAGCATTAAGAATTCCGGGGAAAATTCCCTCGATGACAAGGGTGAGTTCGTGAGAGAGGACCGGTGAAAGGTGGGACGTGGCCGGGGGATGGGGGTCAAGGGTAATGCATTCCGTGAGTTGACACTTGTGGCTAGCCCGAATGTTTCGGATGGTTTTCTCTCCTTCTTCGATCTTCCGTCCTCCTCCCCTCGACGTATCCCGATTCTCTCTCATACACCACGGGCTCCGCCAGCTGGATCCAACACGGCGTGTTGTAGACCCCGACGACGAACGGGAGAAGAGGTCCGGTGCTGAGCTACGGTTCGTGTTCTCGGTTCCTGGAATCGCTAATTAGTGTCCCCCTTGTTTTATTCCCATGCTGTTCGTCCCCTGCCTGAAAATGGGTGTTCATGTCGTGGCCGCGACATTGGTTCCCCTTCATGGGATCTGCCTACTATCAGAGACAGATTGACGCCCGGCATGACGATTTCATCTTCTCGCATTTGCAATTCGTGGCCAGCATTCATAGAATTCCTACCTCTAAAAATAATTTTTATTATCGTAATAAGGTACGCCCTTCCGCGCTCGTCGATAATCTTTAGACTTTCGAATCTTATGAAATGCTCGACATCGAACGTTTGTTTGTTTGAGTTTACATTTGACTTAAAAAAATATCCCAAGAACAATATTGATTAAGTTAGACTTGGTATGTTTAGGGCTTGTCTCGTTTCTCAAATAAAATTATAATTCTGTTTTATGTAACAGAAAAATATCATTAAATTTCGACTGATTTTATGTGGCGAAAGAAGATATTTTACAGTCAATGCACGCTTTATCGATTTCTTCGACGAATTTCTCGAATGCCTCGCACTTCTTCTCGACCCTTCGCACCTTTGAAAAGCCTATCTTACTTCGGCGATTTGATCCACGCAGGAGATCGCCGGTTGGAAACGGCCTCAATTCTTGGAATCGCTAATTAGCGGCTGTCTCATTTTCTTCTTTTCCAATCGGTAGCGAAAGAACCGGTCGACGAATCTGATTGGGAGACGGTCGTATCTTACGCGACATCGATCTGTCGCCTGGAGTGACAAATCATGTATAAGCGCACTTTTAATCGCCCCACGAGTTCAATATAATTCAAATTATTATTAATGAATCTCAGTGCTATCTTGCAA